TAAGTGCGTTGCTATTTCACCGGTATTTCTTGAATTCTATTATTATTAGTAAGTGTTACCGTACTATGTAAAGTTATATTATAATTGCCATTTTTAAGACGTGCAAGTCTTTATCGTGTGTTTTGCTACTTCCGCTACAATGATAACAATTTCACTTGAATCTGTAATGCCGTTTAGCCGTTTATAGGCTTGAAAAGGATAATAAACTGTATGTGTTAAAATTAAACGGACTGACATAAACTACTACATTTATGTTTAAAGCTATTTTTAGAACACATTGTGACAATTCTTAAATTTTGAAGTAGTTTGCTTATTTGCCAACAACCAATTTGTTTAAAGCGGTCATAGTGATAGCACAAATGTATCTAAGTAACCGTAACGGGAGTACACTATAAATAATGCCGTGACTATTGATGCAGCTTATCACGTAAATCAACGTCACGTCCGGCTTTAGCGTCCAGCTAAAAGCACTAAACGATGATTAGTCCTGCAACTGTTTGTCTCGTTGTGTCATATTCGTATGTGATAGGAGTGTCTTCGAGTTTTAAGCGCGCGTGTGGTGGATATTATTTCAGGTAATTGATATCTATCTCTTTTATTTGATGTTTTATTTTGTATTGTCAGTTTTTCTGCCGAACAAATAGTCTTTTTAAGGGGTAGTGAGCGTTCGTTTACTAAAGAATTGTTGCATTTTTGTATGTTGAAAGTATGACAACTGAGGACATGAGGTACTTATTCTATTGACAAGTATTACTGAGCTATATACTCATCTCTAATAATAATAGTCAGCAAGTATGAAATCCAACTGCAAGTGATTTAGTTTATAGACCCCAAAAGCTGGTTTTTGCGTTTTCCCAATGCCAAGTACCTATTTGCTACCGCATGTTGTGCTCATTTGCCTCATTTTATAACAATTTCCTATCAACGATTATACTCCAAACCGATTTGTTCCGCTTTTTTTATTTCCCGAGGTCATTGATTTGTGGAATGCCTATTGGAACACCTTGAAGCCCTTCTCCGTCACACCGACCAGATTTAACAGGCTGTTACTAATCAAGAGTGAATATTGGTTAGAACGATGGGTCTAAATTGAAATACCGTGAAGTTGTAATTAACGATTGCTTGTTTTTATTTGTACGTACGTTTTAACTTTGTTAGACGCTCACTGTCAGACTGTATTATGTTCTTCTCTATTTTTTTTATATACATCAATCTTATTCACGATTTTATAATCCGCTTTTTTTGTAACCATAGCATTTAAGATGGATTTTGATTTAATATGGAATTAGCTCCTCAATCATAAGTTATAAAGCACCCAATCCATTAAGCACGACACCCCTTCAGGTATTCCTTCTGAAGTTGGCTCTTACTCGTAAAAAATGCAAAATTCCATACGGAGTGCGCGAAGTAAGCTGACGGCGTCAATAGAAAGGCCTTATAATCGCAGGTACGATCCGTATACCATAAATATTGTAAAAGGCGAACGAAAAGGAATATCTGCGTCTTAGAGACACTTCGCACTTAGTAGGTGGAAGCGGGGAGACGTCTTAACTTTGGGCTTTAAGACTAACGACGTGTCAACTTATTCAACACTAGCTGTGTCCGCTACTTTTCCGCGAGGAACAGTTATTTTGTATGTGAATATTTTCCCAGTCTTTTTCACATTCCCCACTATTTCTGCGCTCATATTCACACAAACACACACACACTTGCTTCACAGCTTTAAATACTTTTTAAAATTCAAACCTAGTTCCTGAGATTTACGCCTTTAAACTAAGAAACTCAGCTTTATAATTGATTTATTCATCATAAAAATTTCAATGTAATGACAGGTGGAAAAGGGAAGCCCACTTCAACACTGATTTAATGAAAGTATTAGTATAGATAGCTTTTATTAAACATTTGAGGGATTCGTAAACATCACATAAGTACAGACGGATAGATGTGCCCTTTTTATTACTAGCGCACTCATATTTGTTACTTTGACACATTATATAACTGTCATGTTATTTTATTGCAACAGCCAGCCTTTGATTTTTTTTATTAATCATAGTTTAACAAGGCCCTCTGAATGACGAAATGAACGGTAGTGTTCAAAGATCATCAGAGTAAGTCCAGATTAGTGCCGCCCTCGCGACGCCGTCTTCTGACTTTGAAATTGAGAGATACGGAAGCGAACGCCGCGGGTGATTTTCCACCCCTCGAACCCCGTGACACGGCTCCCGACATCAAAGTGCAAATTTTTATTATTACATTACGTGTGTATGACGGCAAAAGCACTCCAGCTTCGAGATTTAACGGAGAGGTGGATGAAATAACATTGTAAAATAAAATTAATTTCGTTTGAACAAACTGGTTTCAAATGCGCGGAAAAACTGCAGTCATTGTTCGGATCAACTCTAGTTGATGGAATCTTTGTTTAATAAATCGCAAAAAACGATTTACACATCTCGTATGTATTGAGAAGAAGTGACTGACTCTATTCATTTATTATTTGATTAATTATGGTCAGTCCATAAAATAAACTCTCACCGACCCATCAAACTATTTGTTTAAGATTCAATTTTAAGTCTAGTTAAGGGATGCAGTAGCTTCTGAGTGAATATAGGCAAGTTTGTATTTAGATCAGAGATTTAAATATATATGAGGCTGCTAGAACCAGATTGGTCTAATAACAGAAAAAAAAATATTTTCAATAAGGAAGAAATTAAAAAAGCGCAATTAACTTAGGTGAAAATGAATGTGTATTATTATTTGTGTAAGAGTTTTTTTTTAAATAAAACACTTTAACGGTTTAAAACATGATATATTAGTTAAACTTATTTGAAAATGATTTTTAACTTCGGCCCGACGTTTCGGATGCTTTGCAGCAGCCGTGGTCACGGGGTCATTTTCAAATAAGTTTAACTAATATATCGCGTTTTAGACCGTTAAAGTGTTTTATTTAAATGTGTACTACTCGCGTAAACTATAGACAGTATTTAAGAGTTTTCTTAACAATTTTCGGTCACTGTGCAAGAGCACAAGATTATATAGATTGACATTTTTAGACTATAAATATATACTTAAATAAGTCCTAAAAAAATTCAGTTAGGCCACTCTCGGCCTCATATATATTTCCGAATTCAATTCAATATATATATTATTTAAGTTTTTTGCACCGATACCGTAGAACTAGTACTACAAATGTCTGAGAAGAGGTATCGTTCAAAAAGGGCAAGTAAGGACGATGCGGGCGTCGCTCTCACAACGGATTAAACGCAATGTGATCAGCACGATAAGAGTGACGCCTCTAACCGCTCGAATTGAAATTCAGCGCTGCTAGATACCATCGTATGGCGAAATGGATTATGCTTAGCCCTAAGTAAACCCATTTTGACGCAAAGCGCTTGATTTGTAACGTAGTCCACATATTTACATACGTCGACTTTCGTTCGCCACCCACAGCCGGGGTAAACGCTCGACGCAGTCTGAAGGTCAGCCAATGTTTTTCAAGCTTGCGTAATAGTTTCTGGTCGACATGTCAAAATTGTTAGCTTTTTTGTCACATTACAATTGTACAATTGTACATGCCGGTGTATGAGCGAAGAAAGATATTATTCATGGATAGTGTTTTATATTCACTTTTTAATTAAGCTTTTATGAGCAAACACGTATATACGTGTACGCGGTACATTTTGGAACCTGTATTACGATTGAATCAACACTGAGAAAGAAAATAAAAGTGCAGCCATCTGAACTGGCGGTCGAACACAGAAACACACTCAGGACTCCAACCGGGTCCAGCCCGAGTGTGATAAATGAGCCAGCCTACTCTCAGTCTTCTCTTTACTCGCGAGGGGGCTGGAGGAAATATGACAGTAATGGAAACAAGTGACAGCGCGAAAACCTCAAGGGGAATTGATTAATCAAACCCGAATGAGCACTTGAAATCTGCGGTTTTGCGAAATAAGCTGCTTAGGCTCGGAAAGTTGGTCGACTTTCAGAAAGGTAAACAACCTTTACGCGATTTGCGAAATTCCTCGTTTGAATTGCCATAATTTAATTATTAAATCTCAACAATAGTAAGACAATAATACTATGTAAATTATTGACGCAATCTTATCGCCCCTGCAAATTCACAAAGTAATGTATGTACAAAAACAAAAGACTGAAACAAGTAATTAATTTTGGCGTCATTATGAATTCTTAATGACACAAAAAATGCGACGAACGCGGTAAATTCACTTCCAAAACAATGAGTTAAGGTTCGCGCTTTGATGTGGATGAATTTAATTATACGCCATGTTAACTTGGTATTCCATAATCCAAAGGATACCGGAGACAGAGTAGCCTCAAAGCGACGCGTAGAATACGCAAACAGGTGTCGAGTCCGAGGTTGTATTTGCATATAAATAGAGTTCCTGCTTAACTGTACCGGCCTCTCTTTCCCTCGTGCCGCTCGGGTCCACCACCGCGCGGGGCCACTCCAGATTCTATTTTTGCCCGATGATGCAACGATGGTGCTCGCGAGGGCGACCTGCCTTGATTTGTGTCTTGCGACGATTTCAAAGCGGCTATCGGTTAAGTGCTTCTGTCCATAAATTATTATCCGTGTAGCGAGGACAGTTCAAACTTTATAGTGGTCGTTCGGATCGGATAGTCGATTATTATCACTAGCACTTGTAACTTTTCAATGCTATCTCGAATCTTAGTTGCGGAGTTTATAATATGTTTCTATATAGAAATAGTACCTATCCCGTAGCATCATGCGATTATTGGTTACTGCTGAACCGCGAGCGATTAAGCCGGTTCCGTCTCCTCTTCCGTTAACTTTTTATCGTCCATCCATTACATCATAGGAATGCCGTCCTAGTGCGCGACTCGTCGGCGTAGACGCAGGTGACACGCGAACTGTAACTTTTTTCGACAAGCGACGAGAGTACACAGTGTAGAACCGACCGGCTCTGTTATCCGAGGCCCCTTCTATTTGTTATTCTCGTTTTTCTAAAGAACGTTTTCTATTTGTTCCGACGAGGCCCCTTTTTTGCTTCGCCGCTCGTCCTCGAAGGTTGAGCGCGATTCCGGGGCGGGGGCGACGGGAAAGACGCCCCCTCCCGCGCCACCGACTCGTCCTTGGCCCGTGCGTTCACCTTGGCGCGCTGCGCTCCCGCACCACAGGTAACGAAGTTCTGCGAACTACGTGATTTCTACGGTTGTCCGAAAGAGGATCTCGGAGTGGACGCCCACTATTGGCCTACCCGCCCGGCAATAACGTTACGCCGAACTTTACGCTTCTTACTTTTCAACATATCTAATGTCTCGGCAACATTAGACTAATATTACATTTTATTCACGGTAGCGACGACGCGGTGGTCCGCAATAATACCATGGCGGTTATTTCTGTACTGCTCGCTCTACTTAGATACGATTTGTATTTCACAACCTCCCCACGGCGATTTTATTACTTTCGGTCTTGAAGAGCTTATTATTAAATAGTCCCTTCCGGGTACTGTACAAATAAGTAGGCGACATATTATTACCGTGCGATGCGTTGGTAGTGTAGTTTTATACCTAGCTACCTACTTGTAAAGTTCAGCCTGCGTCATAGAAGGCGTAGTCTAAAGTAATGTTTGTGCATTGTGGTAATGTTAATTTCTATGACAATGAAACCTCAAAAGGATAATCTGTACAATATGATGTTCTCAGAATATAGATAAGAAGCAAAAAAAGCTTTCAAGCCGTTTTCACGGAAGTGAGATAAATGTGTAGATAAACTCGTAAGTCAAAGAGGGCTGCTAAGAAAGTTTTTACAGAATATTGTGGCGCGTTACGACGTTATCTCCCGATTGACAGTCGCACATTATGAGTGTGCGCGAGTGCTTTAAAACGAACTGGCATTTCTTATCCAATTTTATTTTTACGCCGTTTTTACGGCTCGTATGTTGATTTACGGCTTCGACTTTACATTTGTGGCTTACAACAGAATATTTCACTCGAGTTATAGGCGTTTTAGTACCCGCGCCGGGCGTCCTCCGCCTCGGCTTCGAGCGGTCCGCACTCGTAAAAGTGCGACCGGCGCTATTCTGCGCCCTAGAGCAAGTGCTCGGGGACGGCGAAGTAATCTTATCGCATTCGAGGCCGGACATAGGAAGGGCATTAATTTGACGATCGTCGCGGAGCGGCGGGCCGAGAACGCGGCCGAAACCGGTCGGCCGTCCGTAAATAATGGATTAGAGGTGGTGCGAGGGGCGAGGCGCACGCACCGGCTCGCGGCTGCGCGCACCGCTGGGGGCGCGGGGCGAAGCGCGCAGGGCCGCGGCGGGGGGACTGCGCCTCCTGTCAGCTGTTGCGCGCCCGGGAGCGCGGCGCACTGCCGCCAATGCATCGGCGTTCGTGGAGCGCGCTGCTCGCGTCTGAGTCTCGCGTGTGACATAGTGTTGTGCGGTGCCACCGGGTGTGCGACCCTTGTGATCGATCGTGTGTGTGTGATGGCGAGGATGTGCAGTGCTCTGCCGGCGAGGAGCTGACCGCTGGCGCCGGGCGATGCGAAGTTATGCTCCACCGTCGACCGAGGTGATTATCCCGGAGACGTAAGACACCATGCGTGCGCGTCCCGGTGACGTTCGTTGCCCCATAACCCGCCGTGGCCGTTCGATCGCGATCGGTAAGCAACGCCGGCACGATTTTGGCGCTTTTTTCGGTTTTGGCGCAAAAAATAGACTGCATTTGTTCGTTACATAAAGACTTTTTACTTCACTTCGATAACAATGAATGTCGCCCCTCGCCTAGGGATGTATTCTCGAAACCTTTTTTTTTCTATAATCCTCGACATTTTTTGCCTAACACTGGGGTAGTTTGTTGGCAACCCTCACTTGCATTAACTCAATATATCGAATTTCTACAAGTTTTGCGTGTTAACATAAACTTCTAGAATCATCTTACACTACACTTTATTAATGATTTACTTAATAGTATGTCATTCATTAATCACAGGGAAGGATAACACATAACTGAAATTTGAGAAGAACAGCTTAAATCGGTTAATAGTAGGTACCAATGCCATTATTAAATAAACTACAATTGTTATGTTACCAAACGATGTCATTGAGACATCCTAAACTAATTATATTGCCTAATGATAGGAACTTGTCATATTAATAGAAGGTGTCGAGAAAGTGTCGAAAAAGGTGTGTAGATTGAAACGAATATAGCTTGGCTCCAGGCTTACACTGACATCTTGAATCGAGACATTCAATACAATTACAGCAAGCTATAAATACCAAACTATAAACACTTCTTCAGATGCTCTATTGGTTTCTATCATATCTTTGCAGGTTGGGCTCTAATCTTACATTTTAAGGCATACACTGGATATCTATTTACAATGCGCCTGTCACAAGTGACAATTGCCCAATAGATTCAAATTCTTGAAAATACTTATCCAACCTTATTGATAAAAATAAAAAGTGCTGAATAAAGTTTATTGGTAACAAGCTGTCCACCTAAAGGCTGCAGCAGGTGCAGCGAGCACCTTGTCACCGACCTTCCGGTTTTCCTTAAAGAATAATTTATCTTCGCCTTATTCCTATTCACCTATGACTCAAATGGTATGAGAGGCATTCACGCGGCTCAGGGCTATCCCGCTGCATTAAGCTGCCTTGCTGTAATTGGCTACCTGCCGTTGCTTTTCTATCGTTTATCTATTGATGAATTCAAATACGTATGTTAGCTCCGAAGCATGAAGTTTAAATGCATGCTTAGTAAATGACTGCTTTTCGTCTAGTTTTTGCTCATGATGGGAGACAAGTACGGGGTACACGGGGGTTGATGGAAGGTGAAAAATACCCCCAGCCATATAACACCTCGACAAGATGCAATGTCGATTTGGCTTTGGATGTTCGGAAATCTACAGACTGAAACCGGAACGCTATTAAACTTAATGGCTTTCTGTGGACGGTGGTTCGTGACCCGGACGTAATTTAGATATTCCTGCCAACCATTTAATGCCTAGATTTTAAAACGCCATGTCGACGCGGTGCAAGTCGAAACCACAACCCGATGTGTATTAGCTTACTACATGGATAGTGGATACCATTAACTCAACGAGCGCGAGTTGTATTTAATTGTACTATGAAACACAATTTCTGTTGATTGCAGGGTAGAAAATTAGAGATAAGGAAATCATTACAATTCTTTACGTAACTACTGACTTAGGAACACTGGTCACGACATCTTTACGAATGCAATATGACACATCTATATTACCTCAATGCAACCTTCGATCGCTTCCTAATAATAATTATCGGAAATCTATCTCACAAGCAGATCTCTTTGTCTCGTCGTGACGTAGACTTGACCTTACGGTTATTAAATTCTTGTCACCAGTTTTAATCCAGCAGCTTTGTGTAAAATAAACAGTCCCTTTATAGATGCTTAGGTAAAAATGCAAGCTATATAAACATAGAAATACTGTCGTGGCAACACTTCTTTTCTTAATTTTTTTAACAAAAACAAATTATTATATTTAAATGTTGATGCACATAAGGTATACACAGTTTAAATACATTTAAGGAATAAAGTCCTTACGACAAACAGAAAAAGGACAGAATTTCGTTGTAGTATTAAATATAATTTATAAGTAATGAATATTAAAGCTCTAATGCATAATTATGACCGTCTAAATCTAAAACAAAATCATTATTATTTAATATCTGACATACAAATATGATTGTATTACACCTATTCGTATTTATAGTTAAGGTTCAATTTACTTCTTTAAGTTTGTAAAATATTGTATAATAATAAACGTAATTTGAAATGATAAATTTTATTCTACGCAAAGTCTAGACTTCTCGATCCGAATGTTTACTCGTAGAGGAAATATTAACGTATTTAGATGTTATCGCACATTACGCATACGCCAATGTCAACGAACCGCTTCGCTCCCAAATTATTTCAATGTCATCTCGTCTCTAGCTTAATGATTCATCGATTTTATGAATATCATTATGACCGTCTAAGAATTGTTCTCATCAACTACGTCGTAAGTTATTGTCTTCATCTCTACTACTCCTTAACTGAGTTTTTATGTTTGTATTTTATTCATTAGTATCTTAAGTTTTGTCTGCGTTGTCTTCGGAAATCTCATAAACTATCTTAATATGTTAATTTTTCTTTCTTTGAAAAATTGTGTTTTTCATAGATTCAGAGCAAAGTAAAAAGCTTATGACAATTTTAAGGTTCAAGGAGCGTATGTTCTTAACTTTTTTTATAATATCCATGTGCATCGTGCATCATTCCAACTACCGAGTTCGTTATATTTTTTCCCTGCATTTTTTGTTAGCATCTCACACGCAACAAAAGATTTTTTGTGCGTCTTTTTAACAATAATCTTTCATGTTTTTTACCTTTTTGCTCACAAAAACCGGTTGTGACTGGTTTTCCTCGGATCTGATGTTAAATCTTTGGAAATGCACTTTTTATTGCACACTGTGTTATTTTTTATTGACCTTTATTTATTTTTCATTTTGATCTTGCAAAAAAAGAAATTTTTACATGAAGAACTTAGTATGCAATCATTTGATTAAATTAATTTATTGATTAATGATTTACAGCATTGCTGTATATAAAGTACATAGGCGATATTGTTATCTCGAATAATCCGTTCCGAATCGGTATTGTCAAAATCGTTCATTCATTAAATAAGCGGAGTGTAGTAAATGGCACTACAATGTCGATTACATCATCGCTTCTTCTGTGTCAATGACTCCGTGTCGCGGGTCACTAGGACTATTTTCTGTTTCGGTTTCTTTAATGAGGTCAATTACAATATTGTTGGAGACGCGCTTGCTACTGAGAGCTAACATCAACGCTGTTACTACATCATTTATTTGATCTGATATTTTTACTTCTTTCACTGCACTGCAGCTAATTTTACATTTAGATTACTTAGTTCATTTACGTCTACTATTCTTTTAATTATGGTTAATGATATCATTATTTAAAACCCTAATTTCTTCTTGTAGTTTACAACAATTTGCCCCTCGTCATTTAACTGGTTGTCAAGTTACATCATTAATTTCTTGCACTTGGATAGTACAGTTTTATATATTATTTAAATTTAAACGTTTAAAATTGCTCTTCACACTGAATGACTGAGATACAGAAAAGCGATCTCTGCTATTGCTTATGATACCATCCTGTTGTTTGTTTAAACGCTTAAAACTGAAAGTTCGAAGCAACGCCAACATAGGCACTCACAAAGAGAATAAAGAAGGGAGCTCGCTCGGGAACAGCTGTAATTTATTAAATCGTGAATGCTCGTTATATTCTCGTTTCGCGGTAGTGTGGATGAAGCACTGAACGCAATCGTATTATGCAACGATGCTCCTTTGTTTTCTTCGCGTAAACACCGCCGCAGTCGTGCTATTGAAAACTGTTTGGACAGTCTGTGATGTACGCTGATCTCGATTTATCGCCAGAGCGATCGTGATTTACTTGTTAGCCTTATGGGCTTCTTCGGAACTTACATCTATTGGAAGTCTAATTAATTTATGGTGTGACCAAAAGCCCTAAAGTTTGTGAGTCGTGGAACGCTCTCAATATTCAAAGAAAGCAAAAGGTGGCCAATTTTAAACATTGTGCGCGATGAGTTTCATAACTTCAACGATATTAAAATAGTAAGTAAGAAATTATAAATCGGTGGTTGTTTCTTTGATATTGAAGGGATAAGCTCGAGGTGAAGAGAGCGATTTGAATGTAATTTATTGCATTCTGTTGTTAGCTGTAATTCATACATGTTATTTTTCCTAGAAGTGAAGAATACGATATGATTACTTTCAACGTTTCCTTCCAAAACCACAGTAGTGCTTAGAAATGGTCTTCACGGCTTATAATGAATACACCCTGTGTTACTAATAATATTACTAATGACTAATGATAAAGTATTAATTTGTAGGGAAATAATGATATGGTAAAACATATGAATAAGGAAATCCGGAACATTGCATGTTTAATTAGCCGTGAAGTTATCGCAATTAAAATATGAATTGCGCGTCATTAATTTTAAATGTGGCTAAAATTTAAAACCTCGAAACAAAAGTTATTTCGTCTTATCATTATATTTCCATAGAAGTACATTTAATGGTATACAACGCGCTAACCCTATCCTGTCCCTCTATTAGTTCGATGATTGCAGGCACTAGATAATTCCCACAGCCGAGGTCATAACGAGAGCTTTTGCATGTCAAGAAAATGATTAGTTTAATGTAAGTGATGGTATCACATGGGGGTAATTTGTGGTGGGCCGTTGAACCCTGGACCACGCCCGCATGGCTATTGTCCAGAGCTCAACCGCATTGATTTTGAAAAGCGGTTTCTTGGATGCTTTTTGTTCGTCGTGTTCGATGACTGCTTTAGATATCTTGGTATGCTTCGTCCGTGTAAACATTTAAAGCTTAAACACCTTGAAATATGTAATTTTAATTAGTTTGGTCAGTTTAAATTCACCAATTGAATGATGAATTGAGGGCTTTGCTGCCCTGTCGTACTAAGTAAGTAATATATATATATAAAGCAAGCTCATAGTTATAATTTTTTTACATATTCCTAAATTAATCAAGGCTAAAAGTAAAACACGACCCATTTTGCTAGTATACTTATTTTTATACTGTAATAGTTTTCTATTAGTTTCTAGCTCGCTTTATACAAAATAAGCTCAGTGTAATCGCGTTATAGTCTGACGTGGATTTACGTAAGTTGCGTGCCTATATTTAACGTAATGCTTAGTTCGCCGATAGCCGATAGCCAGCCTACAGTGGAGTAATCGAGTGAAGTATTTAGCCTGGATTCCTGACGTATCTGAACCATTTCACTTTTTATATGGATTACGGGCATACCGATGGAAGACTTATATCGGAAGGGATTGTGTTATTTCACTAAGCCTATTTAGAACAGGTACTGCCAAGCCAAAGTTTCACTTTGAACACTGCAGTGTGGTACTTATTTTGTTCTGTCGAAACCCGTTTAATCTGCTTACGTTATTACTTGCTAGAATTTTTTAAATTTCATATTAGCAGGATATTGCTCACAATAGCGAAGAAATTCGGTCAGTTTATCAGCAGCCGATTTTTAACAATATTTCTCGACATCGTACAGATTGCTTGTCCCCTCCCTGACCTAGGGCAGACGGTGTAATCGTGTCATCCTAAGGCAGATACTCCTATTAACTGAATTCACGGAGTCCATACTTGTAACTTTATAAGAGTTAGGCACGAACGTCATACGATATCTGTAGGTAGAACAAACTAGGGCTTTCTGGGATTAAGTTCTTTGCTGCTTTACATGCTGGTATTCACATAGGTACTTAACTTGCCTCATAAACGAACCTTTTACAACACTTTTTATTAAACATAGTTTCCTTTTTTGCTTGCATCGTGCAAGCTACGGTTCTGACACGATCGTTTATTTTTATTGATTATTCAATTCTAAATCGCTTTATCTGTTTTAGGCATAACATGATCGTCTCTATGCAATATTTTAAATCGTGTTTATGCTTGCTTAACAAGTTCTAGTATAGGTCACAATTAGGTAATTCAAATAATCCAGCTATGAAATGATATGGTTCAAAGTAAGGAGTAGGACACTAGGACTTTCTCTATTCTTTAAACTATTTTTTTTTAGTTCTAAATTCTCTGTTAACTGTCTAATAATTAATATAAACTAAAATACTACTATAAAGTACAAAAAAAAAAAACATATTCGTAATTTATCAAATAAAGATCTTCTATGCATTAGTACTGTTATTGAAACATATACTATTTTAACTGTCGCCGTAGCAAGTGTCGGCCGTGATCGGCGACTTTATGTTAATTAAACACCGGATGCGCACTTCCTCTAATTGAGGCGCGAGTGTGGTGCGGCGCGATGTCGCCCCGAATTTCGAGCTTTTATGGACGGAAGTGGCCCTGGATATCTCCGCCGTTAACACCATGGGCGTAGGCAGGACGGCCGAACAATCTATATTGTTGCAGGTTTTATTGAACTCAAAAATCGTAGATCGGTTGATACCCATGTAGAGAATAAAAGAACACGTATTTAAAATTAACGTCATCTTAAAAGTTCAAATCGTAATAGACAATGCAGTTTTTGTATTTATGACTAGTACAATAACGCGAATTGCTTTGTCTCGGATTTATTACGCATTCGATTGAAATATTACGCTCCGTTTGCGTTGACACGTAAGTCGTAACTTAGTTGTAGGTCGTAACTCGTGTGTGTATTAGACATTACGCGATTCTAACATGACGTGGTCAGGACCAAGAACAGCGCAGGGTCATATTGTCTTATGTTTTATCGTGGTTAGCGTTTTCTTTTTTACAAGAAAAGTATAATTTAACAAATACTTGAAGGAAACATGCAGTAGTATATTATTGTCGACGAGAAATTGTATGAACGCGAAATATGCGAAGTACCTAATCGAAGAGCATAACGGTTTTAAACCTTATGGTTTTTCTTTTTTCTATGTATATTATCAATTACTTTGCAATTGTTAGCATTTTAGAATTAGTTTTGTTAGTATTATCACCACTAATATTTGCTGAGGTTTATCACCAAGTAAGGCATCAGCCCTCGTTGACGTGATAACGGCTTATCTGTAAATTATATAGCAGCCTATATCCACTGTAAGTGCATTGTGCACTGAAAAATTCGTCTTAATTTTAATTGGCTTTTTTAAACCAATTTAGACAATGAAATAAGTTTACATGTCTCATCACATCAAGTGGTATTAACGGTTGTGGTGAAATTTTGAAGTGCATAATATAATACATTTATATAGAGATTATATTTAACTTCAATGTACGCTTCAATATTTAAGGAAGGTGTGTTTTAATGTTTTATTCCGGGTATACCTTTCTTTTAGATAGAAGCGAAGCATAAAAAACTTAATAGAGCTACGTGGAAGCTCTGTAAGCGGAAAAATGGACGTTTTGGTATACAGCGTCGAGATAGATTACGATCGTACAACCAGTTATATGGGAGTGGTATGTTGTGTGTCGGGTAGTTTTTGTGGCGTGTTATCTAAGCGTTGCATCGATTACCCTTTACTGGCCAATATGCATTATTGATACTCCACTCGTACGGTGAGGAGCGCGTCGGGTCAAATGTACATTGGGATTTCTCAATACGAAATTTATTTCGTTGCATTAAGTGGATGTATAAAATTAAGTATTCCTCGACTAAGCCCCGCTTAATTAGTTTTAAAATTTATTAAACAACTGTTATAAAAAAAATGTTAATTATAAAGTCTGTAGGCAAAGGTAGTTGACTAGTCTATGGAAAGCTATGAAAAGGTAGTAAAACAAATATGGCAAGAGAATGGCGCATGTTAGATTCCTGTTTCTCAAGGTCCAAAAGCTTACTCGACTCTTCCGGCGTGAATTCATATAAATACATTATATGAATACATGTACAAATTAGTATGGCAATCTATATAGTGACAAAGGGAATGGTAACGATAAACTATAATTTTTGTATTCTATAATTATTATGATTTTATATTCTAGTCAGTCAGTCCGAGAAGACTATAAGGGCTCCAAATCGATAAACGCTCAAATCGCAAATCATATCAATTTTGTACCTGTGCATAAATGTATAGGTGCTATTGAGGGGAATGATTCTCCCAAACCCGATATTAAAATGTATTCCTTAAACGATAAGCATTTGAACTTTGTAATAGCGTCATCTAATGCGATCGCATTAAAATTTTTTTTTTTTTCCCCCCCCCCCCCCCCCCCCCCCCCCCCCCCCCCCCCCCCCCCCCCCCCCCCCCCCCCCCCCCCCCCCCCCCCCCCCCCTCCCCCCCCCCTTTCCTTCTTTCCCCCCCCCCCCTTTCCCTTTTTTTTTTTTTTTTTATAACAGTCTGTTTAATTGGTTTTTGTCCCGTGATCCCTCGCTCGGGGGGGCGCTTCCCCTATGGCTACGGCCTTTGAGATTCGAATTAGCATAGTTCGTTACGTGCTACTAAAAATGTACATATACCGCACATGTAGTTGCGGTTGCCTAGTGCATACTCATTTTTTATTTCTCCAATATATACGACTTGCTCTGATTTTAAAACTTCGTTATACTGTCCTTTTCTGTCACGATGACCTGAATATTTGTACCTAACAAGGACTATTTTATTTTTCGTGAAATTATTTCCGTTTATTGCTAAAGAGAAGAACGGTTATGTGAAAACGCTTTTGATAGTCAGCATTTATTTTAATAACGCTTGTCGCATTGGAAAGACGACCACCGAGATTAATAACAGAGTCTTAGATTACGTCGCACCGGTACCTGCAGCCAGATGTCAAATTTCCTCCAGCTTAAAAGTCCGTGAAATAGCATCGGAATAGATTACGACAGCACGAAATCGTTCGATGACGCGAAGCTCATTCGGAAATGGAGCGAGCGACGTCGAGATTGCTTTTAAATCACATTACGCTTGCAGCGCTGCATCTAAAACTGGTTGATCCTTCAAAAACTCAGCGGTCTATGATTACATTGCTGTGATTTACATCACTGTAAGAACCGTGTAAATGGTGTATAACGATTTACGACATTGCTATTACCGAAGTTTTCAATGTGCGTAAATTGTAATTTAATAACTCAGTGGTCTACGATTGCTTTCCTTTAAATTTATTAATACCGATCTAAATATTGGCTCTTTCAATATACCATTTATTCCCGGAGTGAAGCTTTAGATTACTGTAAGAAAATGATTCAGATTATGTTATATAGGTATTTAAAGAAGTATGAATACATGACTGAGAGAGTTAAATAAGAATTACCTTATCACTCTTAAATTAACACAAACACAAAGAATATGCAGCTCACTAAACAAATAAGTATTGAACAATAACAGTGATACTTTTATATTTCCGTTTAAAGTCTACCTCGAAAGCAAGCCTTTGTTTTAAATACCTATTTGTGAAGCAAATGGAATAAGATGAAGAAAAAGGTTTATTTCTAGACAGCACATGCTTCCAATTTTGCAGTACAAAATAATATTCCCGACCAAAATAGCTTGGAAGTTACGCGTTTGTTATTGCGAAGAGGGCGATTATGCCACACACGATCCTTCGGCTCCGCAGTGAGGATCTCACGCACTGCACGCATCCTCAATACGGGAGTAGGTATTGTATTGTAATAAGCATTTGGCGGCAACACACCGATTCCTTACTCAGCTCATCTGAGGTACATCTGTATAAGACTGTGTTATTTAATTGCAATATCTAAAACATTAGCATTGATTTACATTAACATTTAACGGTTTAAAACGCGATATGAAGTTGTAATACAATCATTGCTTATATCTCAAATATGCTTTATTTTTGTCTAATGTCATGAATCGTGGTCACGAAGCAAGAGCCTTTTTACACACTAACGGCGCTTCACACACTAAAAGATAGGTTGTATAAAAAAAGTGAAATATTTAACTCCTTTGTATCTCAATACAAGAGTTTAAAGTTTCCAGTGGGTTCTTTGCTTGGATATTATTGTGTTTTGTTTACAACCGCTTAAGTACTTCCCATTCGACGTCCCAGTTTTCGCTGCACAGTTTCGTTTAGATCTGTTTTACGAAGGATTTACGGAGTTTGGAATTACGCGTCGCTCCACGCGCTCTGGAGTGGGCGGTAGCACAAAGGGCTCTTGTGGATTCGCCTATTTCCTGCTCAGACGCTGCCGGAACTTCTCTTTACGCTTCGTGCAAAACACAATAAACTGCAGTCTGTAGATAAGCTTGCTTCTACAATGTCATTTATTTATTATAGGCACTTGATTGGTTTTAGTAGACGAACCTTCTCATTATTACCAACAAGGTTATTTTAATCTTAGATATTGGACATTGTCAGTTTCAGTTAATAAACCCGCGCGTGTTGTACCAACGCTACCATGTGACCGCCAACTCCGTACTTCGAAAAATGTTCACGCGAATCAAATTCACGCCCCACCACGTCAAATCTGTACCTAGATGCAGATTTTTATTTTGTGTCGTATATCGTTTTTTGTATGTTCATTGTGTATGAAACATAGCCTAAAATTAATGAACACTACACAGTTTACTTCTATTAAACAAAACGATATGTGAATGAAAATTTGTTTATTTCAACAAAAAGACATAGGTATAGCTTACATTGTTTACCAACAAGTTTTATAGTATTGCTTTCAAAAGACTTTTCTGTTGTACGAATGAGTTAATGATAGTCCACGGAGAATTGACAACAAAGTAGAATCGAAGAATAAATAAAGTTGTTATTATCGTCTATTACAAAATTGGCTTCAATTCTAATCTCGATTTTTACCCCTTAGAGTAAGGAGCTACACATTACACATATTATTTATCGGGCTAGGTTTAAAACTCTACATCTTCCGAGTATATCGTTTTACTCACTACAATTAAATAACATTCTTAATTGTACATCACTATTCTTGTAAACCCACCAGCTCCAGAAGACATCCAAATTAAATCAAACGTTGAGCCGCTCCCACTAATCTATTTCCAAGCCACAATGGACTATAAATCAAAGCGACAGAGATCAAAATAGAAAATTACGTCACTTCAGAGCCTTGTAGCGTAATGAACCGTAACTCAGCCGGTTACGAAATCCAATGAATATAAAACGCGTAAATAAATAGCAGATGCGCGAAAAACTCACCCTGTAGTTGCAGACACTTAGCATAATAATCGCGGGGGGTTCGCGGGGCTGGTGGGAGGGGCCGGGAGGGGGTAGCTCCCTCCCTGACACGATTCTCACGGACGCGACGCGACTTCCTTTCAATTTAATGAATGGGTGTAAATATGAAGTGATATGTTGACGCGCGAATGTCGACCGGTCGTGAATTGTCGCGATTTCACGTAATCGCAGATGTGTAGGTGTACTACGAGTGTGGAATCGATTTGTTTTGTCTGAGCCTAGTGGTATTATGAAACGTGTTGTATTGAGTAAACACTATCGTATCTAGGACTGTGAATTGTTGCAGTGCCACATTCTCTATAATATTATTTAACGACTTTAGTTTTGCCGGCCTACAATCTACACAATACCATTTGTGTGGCTAAACTGCAAATATATGATATTTTTTATCCTGGAAAAGTACTGCATATCTGCGCATTCTAAGCGGATAAAATAAATATACCTAGTTGCAATCTTTCCGTGTAATATTTATTTCCATTTATGAACATGTCTTGTAAAGATTAAATAAATACAAGTCTTACATAAACAAGTATATATGCTATCATAGACTTTGAAATTTATACGTTAACTTGATATTTGCTCATTAATCATTTCGGTACTCGAAATACACTCCTGGTTACAAAGGGTTACATTTTTCATTGATAAGTTATTTAATATTTAAAAAGAATGTTAAAAACGTACATTCAAGCGTTTGTATTTAAATTATGCCTAACAGTCATTTTCAATATTAGTTTCATAGTTATATTACTTACTTAGATAATATACCATCTACAGTCTGAAGAACGCTTAAATATTCGATAGAAAATAGTTTTTATTTTATTATTTTTGCGGCAGTGTGAAATTTTTGTATATAAAATATAGAGCGTTTTCAAGTAGGAAGTCTTCAAAATCTACATAATATATATCTACTCATACGTTAACTATAGTATTATGATATCGCACCCTTGCAGAGCATTGTTAATTAAGAACAGGAAGAGATACCATACAAATTAAACGCGTCTAGGAATATTTGCGCCTGGATTCCTCTTCAAATCACGAGTCTCCCGCCACACCCGAACTTTAACAATGCTCATCAATCGTGAAACTTTGTCTATGGGGTCATTTTACACAGTATAGTGTTGCTTTTACCCCGCGTGCGACCCGTGGGGGTGCCGTTACAATAATCAGCCGACCCCGAGGGAAATGCCAGCGACATATCATTTGCTCTTTTGTCCGCCCACTTATTATCCCATGAGAGCACTGCGCTGGACAACCAGTGGCGCTTTGTACGAGAATCGATTAAAATGTTTTAAATAAAACACTTGTATATGTTTAAAACGAGAAATATATTAGTTAACTTAATAACCATTTTATTTTATCGGGCCCGACGTTTTTGGATGCTCAGGTCAGTTCCTTCGCGACCACGGCTCCTGAAAAGTAATAATAATCGCATTTTAAACCGTTAAAAGTATTTCAATTGAACGTAAACTCGCGTAACCTACAACACTTATTCGTTATTTTAATCGTTTTTATCTGTCTTTCAAAGGTAATCTGGTATCTAAATTTAGAGCATCTAATAGTTTTTAGTCTCGTAAAAAAAGGTAAAATGTGTTTCCATCAAAAAGTAACACCATAAGGTATCGTTCGAGGCTGTATATATAAATAGTTATTGAAGTAACAAAATGTAATACGTTGGTAGGTTTAAATTAATAGTAAAACAATTAGGTGTAAATAATTCATTTTAGGTTCGACGTATAACTTACTTACAATAGACACAAAAACGCTGCACATTGTATACATTTTGAAAGCATATAACATCTAATGAATGGTTCCTATATATTCTGTGTAGGTACGTTAGAGTTTCAAACCCAAGAAAAACTTAATCCAATTTGGCGTAGCAAGCAGCCAGCAGCCAGCAGCCTGTCAAAGCGAGACGGATTGAAAGCGACCACCCCAATTTCTGTCCCCGACACATGGGTTAGAGTTGCCTAATCATAATTGAATTTTTCGCTCACAAAATATAATAGCTACGTTCATAGAATTTTATTTGTAATAATGGCCGATTACTCGGATTTAAACTACATATTTATTTGTTTGAATATATTCAGTATACCCTCAAAAATTTACATACAAGGGTGAAAATGTTTCACAACTGTCAATACATGACAATACATCTGAAATTTACATAGTTCATAATGTTTTTATGAAATCTAATTCGCGCAAACATACGTGTTATGATTTAATAAGGCAGCAGTTAATTAAATCACTCGTATTAGAATACTGTTAACGTTTGTTTTAATAAGTTGTTTTAAAAGGGTATGCACTTTTTAATCCAATTGAATGGCGAAAACTTTAAACTTTTCAAACTATGAATGATAATAATCGTCAACTGTTAACTTGAAACAATATTCTATGTTTGTGATGGAAATAAATCATTGTGTCAATAATTCATTTGTCCTATGAATTACGTTTGCCTTAACTTTTAACGTCAGTCAACGTCAATTTACCTAGTAATGAATTATCTTCGAATTAAATAACTTCTGAGTCAGAAGTGATATCAAGGAAACTGCGCTACGACAATACGTAGTAATCTTATTACGCTTTAATTACTGGAAGCATATTAGGGATAACCCGACGTTTTATGTTTGCTATAAATAAGATTCTAGCTTCGAATGATCTGACAGTTTGTTGGAGACTAGATATCATATTAAATTGCAATGTAACGAGGCTTCTTTATAGTCGATATATCTTTTTTCTTTAAATTGTTAGTGTTAGTTACAATATTGTTTTATACAAATCACGAAAGGTTAGTAAATTTTTAAAACTTTTTCTTCTGTAGAGGCTGCTGTTTTCGTGACTAAACAATATATACATCTGAAGTCGAAAAGGAAAAAGTGTTATTTACATGTGTGCTTATTATTATTATTCGCTATTATCTTTTATAAGCGCGTTATCTGAAGTTTAATGCATCCAAGAGCACAATAATTAATGAAACAGTTGTGTTTTTATTACGCTCCCATGCATAACATTATCTCGCTGATTACGCATATGCGTGTCCCTCCGCATAAAGCGCATGCTTTATAATCACGTATGCTAATCTGTATGTTAACGACGTGTGCGTTTAATTCGCTGGCGCATAGGAAGGACGTCGCTAGTCGTCGACCACGCCCTCGACCTACCCCCAACCGATGTATATGTATTTATAAATACATTCTGCCGATGAGTAAAGTCCCAATACGAGTTTTACAAATCGAAGTTGCCTGCAAGTTTTATTGCAATAACAACAGCCTGTTATTGTTTGATCTATTCAAATTGAAAGATGGTTACGAGCTTATACTTTTACTATCTAAGCAGACTTTTGTAAACTTCTGTAATGTCTTGAATGAGAAAAATGTAGTGAACCTTTATCCCCTTTCACTTGAAAAGATATAACCTTGAAGAGTCTTTGAACTAGCAAAGAAACAGTGGTTCAAATTGTTCTTCATCAGAATTTAAGGTGATTTCATAATAGGAATATTTGGTTGCACACGACAACCTCGATTAGTGAACAAACTCGTTCGCGTATTTTTAGCCGTCGAGTCTCGAACGAAATGCGCATTTCATTTGTTTTCGAATCGCGCAGAATTAAGTTGAGCGACAGTGCCAAGATTACATTGGCGCGGGTCATTGGCCGAAATCGGCGTGGGTCTGACCTTGCCGCAGCCGCTTCACCTACATATGACAGCCCACTTTTGCTTTCGACAATCCGCAAAAAATATCCGCAACGAGACCGACGTACCCCACGTCTTAGGCTAATAGGCAAAGGTCAATAGGACATTAGTTTGACTCTCGGCTCAAGGGCGACTGATTTTTAACGGGCGTATTCTGTGCCGCAATTCAGCAGATTGAACCGCCAAGAGATTTAAGTTAACATTTAAATAAAACACTTTAACGGTTTAAAACGCGATATATTAGTTAAACTTATTTGAAAATGATTTTTAACTTCGGCCCGACGTTTCGGATGCTTTGCAGCAGCCGTGGTCACGGGGAGTCAAACTGAGTGTACTACTTGCGTTAACTATAGACAGTATTTAAGTTAACATGTTAAGTTATAGTCTTACTTAACTAAATATCTTTAAAGTAATCTGTTAGTATCGCAGGGGGCAAACGTTTTATCGGAATTATGAACTTAAGTGGAATTAACGATCTTCGACATTAACATCCCCTAACGGATAGGGCCGCGCTTTTAAAATCTTTTTCTCTCTGAAAACAGTGAAAATTTGAGTCAATTAGAAAAAAAATGTTTCTATGAAGCGAGCGAAGGGGAGTACAGCAGCCCCAGTTATGTGTGCACTGTGGCTAAGGGCTAGGGTGTACCCATGACGGTTGAAGATGGACCCCAGTAGCACAAAATCACTCAGAAACCAACCTTAATTCCTGAATAAAAAGAATCCAAATCGCAGAACATCGAAATTACTTCGTCGGTAAGGTACCTGTGGATCATCAAACAAAAGATCCTAAAACGAGTTACGCGGGCGACCGTTTATGACGGCCTTTGTGTTGAGATAAGGCAACCTGTCAGTAAAAGACGGCATATGTACGCTGCTATGCCATCAGGTATTTTAAAAGAAAGAACAACATATTCATACTCATTAGAAGGAGAGTTTACTCGTATGTAATCAAGTTATACAGCTTTTCCGTCAAATGGAAATATGTTTAGTTACAAATTATTGTAACGGTCGTCTTTCTCGTAGACATATTGTTAATGTTTAGATATTTCCATATGTACGTGCATAATACAGAGATGGATGAGGCATTACTTAATTCGTCATAGCGTCGGAGCTCGCTACGCGCGTCGAATGTCACATGTTCGGAAATAATAATAATCGTGATCGTCGGACGGCGGTCGGTCGGGCGGTCAGTGCAACTCGGCCGATTGCGTCACTGCACTCCGAGGGCATTGCACCTTGCCTCCTCCTCGCGACTACGCCTCGCGCCGTCTCGCTCTGGCGATCGCTCTGTCTAACCTATGTTACGTGCTATCGATCGTAACCATTCACCAGCTGATTGTCATTAACATATCCTAGGAGGAAACTAGCATAGCGCTATCGTTCATTATCTCGATATATTTCCTCACTATTACGAATAGTTAGTACTATACTACTCCCATTAGTTTCAGTTAGTAACGACACTACATCTACTTTAAACTTTATTGCTTAAAATTTAGTTTCGTGTAAGACACAGTTGTTATGCTAAACTTCGTGCGTGCATCGTGCACTTTATTAATATAAAGAGAGAAGATATCAGTTCTTCTCTGAAAGTGATATCTGTAATAATACTTTGTGATTGGTGCAACCGTGCTAATGATAGGTTTTCTTTTCAGTGGTGTGGCGGTGCTGAGCCCGACCGAGAGCAGCGGTTGCAGCGGTAGCGATATTACCGAGCCGCGTTCGCCGCGCAGCCCCGAGTCCGGGTGCAGCATCGAGGAAAGCGTGGGCGCGCGCATGCCGCCCTGGGCGACCGAACCGGCGCCGCCGGCCCCGCGACGCCTCGCCGCCCAGCCCGCACCGCTTCGACGGCCGAACCCCGTGCATCGACGTATCACAGAGTTCTTCAACCATAAGATGAAACCGCAAACCGGCCTCAAGCGAGACGCCAGTACGCTTAGCAACGATGACACCAAGAAGAAGTGCCTCCCTAAAAACGGTGTCACGCGAGACCTCGAGAAATACATCTCCTATCTATCACAGACCCTCAGTCCAAAAGTCTTGCTCGATGTCGGTAAGCAAGCTAATAAAACTCAACCGACCCCGGGCGGCCTAGAAGCGAAACCTGCTGATCTCACTAAATCTTCGGATAGCGCCGACAGCGTTTTGGATTTCTGTAAGCCAAAGGATGGTAAAGAAGGTCACTCGATGAACGGTTTCGTCGAGGTTCGTAAGGTATCAGAGAAGCCTAAAGATCAGCTGACTTGCGGAGTCTTGAACGGGCTAGCCGAAAACAAGAAGATAGAACGCGATAAGAAAATAACATCGGATCTATCCGCCAAAATAAAATCGAATCTTACTAAGCAATACAATGGTAATAACTCTATAAGTAATAATAAAGTGCCAATACCAGGAACGCACGAAATGTTTGGATTTCGGATAGCTCCCGCTATAACAGCCAATCAAGCAAGAAATAAAGTTTCAACAGTTAAAATTGACCTAAAAATTAACGGCACTGTGAACCATGCGGCTAAATTAGACAGTAGAATGAATGGAGTCACACGAGGATCTAATAATTTGAACTTGGTAAATAAACCCATTGCGACTAAAAAGGAAACCGCGAAGAAGACCACTTTAGCGCCTAAACGTACTAACAGAAAATCTTCGGCGTGCATCGCTAATAGCAAGAACCTTACTTGGTCAAAAGCTAACAACCTCAAACAAGTGCAGTTACAGAAACAAAACTGCGTAAACTCCGCAACAAAATCCCCTTTAAGAAATGTTCCCGGCGAAGCTAGTACTGCACCAAAGATGAATATTCCAAACGGTGTGAGACAAGTATCGATGACTGTTAATGGCAATTTGAATAATTTAAGTGTACCTGTTAATAATTTACACAATGGCCATCAGATCAACGTTCAGTCGCAGTGCAACGGAACGGTGACTTCGGGGGCTTTGCCCACGTTTATGGCAGTTCCACAAAACGTGATGCTAACCACCTTAAGGATACCGCAAAACGGTCTCACTCCTACCAATATAAACCAACAGGGCGGTATAGCTACGATCAACCAAGGAAACATAACAACTCTGAACCAGCAAGGTAGTATAGGCGCTATCAATCAACAGCCAAATGTCGCTTTCAATCGGCCTAACGTCAGCGTCACGAGTCCGACAAAATTAAATGGTCAATTTGTGTTTCCGCTCGTCCAGAATATCAACGGGGCCGTGTTGCAAATACCTAATCTGATGGCGAAGATGCCCAATTTTGTCCTTCCGCAAGCCCAACCGTTGACGGCTCAGCGGCAGAACCATATCCAAAACCAACAGCCGCAGATACTTATAAACGGAACTTTATTGAAGCTGTCGAATGCCATACCGTCTTCGTTTCCACCTGCAAATAAGGCGAATCCCGTAAGCAGCCAGCCCGTATCCGTGATAAACAAGAATTTTCCCGGGATACAAACCATGAACGCTGTGACGCAACAAAAGCCTAATTACAATGTAAATTTAAGCCACCCGATGCTTTTGCCGCAACCGGGCTTCATCGTTACTTCAGTGCCAAATGTCAAAGAGACGTGGAGTTACTCCACAGTGAACACTGCCTGTCTATCGCAATCGACGTATTCCAACCCGATAGTACAACACCCGCCGCCTATAGTACCGAGTTTTAGCACTCAAGCCTTACATTCGAGTAGTATACCTATAGCGCCAGTCAAACCGCCGGACAACCCGGTCCAGGGGACCGAACCGCCCAGCAGCACGGTGAAGGAGTCAGACTTAGGGGACTTAAAAAATCAAAAGTGTGATATTCCATGGCTGTCTAAAAACGTTAATAATAACATAGTTCCATTAGATTCTAATAAAATCACATCGAGGCCTTTCGCTGAAATTAGTTCAGCTAAGCTTGGTGTGTTCGCGATGGATATAGAAGTGGACAGGGAAGCGATTTCGTCATCGAAAGACAAAGATAGTAAGGTGCCTGAAGAGCTGAAGAAAGTTGAAGAAATTTCGAGAAGAGAGGAGAGTTTGTTTGCGCAGATAACAGTTTTAAAGGATGTCACATCGAACGTTGAGAGTACAATGTTAGAAGCGAATTTCAGTAGTGCAACGACAGAGTCGTCGGAATCCGGGATAGGCACCGATAAGTCGATAGATTCGCCGAGCGATTCACAGGGTAGCAAGGAATGCGACGAAGACTCGTCACTGGCATCGTCTTTAAGCATTAGTGTCGGCTCGATCGAACCGCAATGTCAGACGGAGTCCCAAAAGAGTCCGATTCTAAAGCAACCTAAGACGCTGCGGTTTCCACCAAGAAGCCAGACGAAATCGGACAATAACAGAAGGAAGTCCAGTTCAGATACGACCTCTACGGTTATTGCCTGCCAGTGGGAGGACTGCAAGCTGGAATTTGACAGTGATTCAAATTTGTTAGAACACTTACAGGTATGCGTTGCTATTATGTTTATTAACTTTACTATATTGGTAGCATATTACATAAAAAATATATATATTATGATTATAATTATTTTTTTTCATTTTAAGTTTAATTTTCTGGATTTTATACAAGAGTGCGAATGACCAGCACTAATTTCAGCATTCACATTTCAGGCCGTGCATGTCGACACGCAAGTGGGTAAACAGAACTACGTGTGCCTTTGGCAGCAGTGCAAAGTGCGCGGGAAGCCGTCTTGCTCCCGCCTCTGGCTGGAGAGACACGCGCTCTCCCACGGCGGCAACAAGCCCTTCAAGTGCATAGTCGACGGCTGCGACAGAAGGTTCTCGACTCAGGTACAATTACGTTCCATCGACTTTGACTTCACTTCCCAGGAACCAGGATACACATCGCCAAAACGAGTCCACAATAACGCACCGATGCTCTATTGGGTTATTGTCTAGTCGTTCTGACGGTTTGAGATTTTGGTCTTCGTTATCGCCGAATCGTTAATAGTTCCTGCGCCTCTCGATACGAAGTTATCAGGGATCGCAAGGAATCTCGCCAGCGGCTAAGCTTTGTGTGTTTGTTTGAGCCTGTTTTGTGTCGTTTTAAATTTTGAATCGATTTGGATGCGGTTCTGTTTTATTTGTCAATTTACATGAGTACTTTATAATGCCAGCCTAATGTAAAATAAAAACAAATGAAAGGAGAAGCAACTCTCTTCATCGTTAAGTTACTCTAAGGACTGACAACTATTTTACAAACCCTTAATTTCTATAAATCATTTGTTTCTCTTAACGGAACAAATGTTATGAAATACTCGTTATTACCTGTGCTGCGCGAACGAAGTCGCGGGCCAAATCGTCCAAGATAATTTCGAATCATAGAAAACCGGGAGCCATTAACGTTTCTGTTTATTCTCTTCTCTGCTTCTTAAAGCTAAATTCAGTCAATAGTGATTGGGCCATGAAGTAATCTTTTTCTTGATATGGTCCTTATGGGACCTCTCGTTGGTTTGCGTAGTCTTCTATTTGAACGTTTCCGTGTGATTCAATGACATGATCGCGTAGCATGTCACGAACTTATTTTTTAATTCCCACCGCCAATTTAATTTCGTCATCTTCATTATTCCATCCTTCAGGTCAACTCTTTGGCTCGTGACGTGGCCACCGTGGATACTTGTCGCAAAGTATTCGTCACTTTGGGACAATAAACTTGTGTTGTGTGTTTTCTGTTCTAAGGTTGAAGGGGGACACCGGTTGTGGCGAGCGTCTAATTTTATATTCTTTTCTATGATACTTTTTTTTACCACGATTCCTACTCCGAGATGTACCAATGCTGGACAGACTGGAGGATGACCAAGTATTGTGTCCAGCTTATATGTTCATGAAAAATGATCAAATGACAGAGACTTTATTTCTGTCGTGCAACTATTGTGATAATTATTTTTACTTTTTCTAGTCTGAAACCATTCGCTTATGCAAAAATGACAAGATAAAGTATAGTTAACGAGTAACCGATTGTGAAGAATAATGATTAAAACAAAGTTCTACATTAGTCCACCAAATATTAATTAAGTGGGTCAATCCGACTGGTAATGATCATTTCTCATGGACAAAAGCTGTAGTTGTGCCGTCTATATCGTATCACTCGCTACAGCAAGCTCGTCGATGATTTCAGACCCTTCTGGAGCGACACGTGAACCACCACTTCAACAACAGCTCGCAGTCCAACGGTAGCAACAGAAAATCGAGCGACAACTCGTCCAAGCTGATCAGGAGAAATGGAAAAAAGTTGCGCTACAGGCGACAGCCTTGGTCGGGTAAGTACTCCCTCATGCACAAGCAAAAAAGACTCTTGCATAAATAAAAGAAATTTAATCTAGCATGTATTGATTATTATAACTGTTAGTTTTCTTTTCAAATTTACAACACTTTAGATTGGGATGTACTAATTTTCCCTTTCATGACGATTTCAGCGCGTATGTTCGACTTCTTCGATTCGGGAATGATGGTGGGGCTCCAGTGGAGGCTATTGAGGTGCACCAGGTGGAGATTGTCGGGGGGATGTCCGCTGCGAGAGCCTCCCGGGCGACACACATTAACACTACACGCCGCCCTCAGTGCCACTAGGTACAACGCTACCGACGGCACCCGGGAGGCCTTGCTGACTTACTACCCTCCTAATGTGTAAGTTTACAATTTGATCAACTCTTTAGGGTGGATCGATTGATTAATAGGTTGGTTGGTTGTTTGATTGGCTGGTGGAGTATGTTTGAACAAATGGAAATGCATAGAAGTGTTCTGTTTGAGAGTGTGATGCTGTTTGTGAAGTTTTTTTTCCATTAACATTTCACTTCTATCGGGTCTAAGTAAGAAATAAAATTGTGATGCTCATGAATATCTTTTAATGAAAGTCTAAATATAATTTCTGTGTTGAGTGATTATGCTTTGAAATTTTACTAAAGAGTTTGTCTTAATTATTAATTTATGTTCATGATTATTACATCAATTAATGCGTTCAACAGAATTATTGAAATCTCTGTTCTACTGTGTTGATTGTGGAAAAACTTTATTAACATTTAATACATTTTCAGGTAAGAGTTTTGTAGCGTAAATTTACCTTAATTTTATCAAGTGGATGGGATTTATAAGCTTGTGTGATATAATGAAAATACTAGGGATAAGTTGACGATAATAGGATAACTATTTACTGGTACAAGAATATTAATACTAACGAATTATTGCAGCGACATTTTTCGAGTATTTTTGTAATTATATCATTAACAAGGTAACAGCGAGGTGGGTTTATTAGTCAGTGTTGTCAAATTAAGGAGTAACTTCTACTTATTATTTTGGTTACTAATGGTGCTGGACTTTTCAGTTTTCAATAGTACTTAGAAGTAATCGCAAAGATCATCTGTGTCCTTATTTTTGTTAGTACATATTTACCTATTCATTTTGCAATTGCACGGTAGATAGTATATATAGTATATAGTAATAGTAATAGTAACTTTGGCTAATATTCCTGACATCAATATTTTTGTGCTCATTGTAATATATATAATCATTTTGGACCCAGAAATAACTTTCATGAAATTGTTTTAAAAATTCTAAGAACTCATAGAATTGTAAATTTGGAATTACTATAGGATAACCTGCACCAGCCATTGTCACCGAGGAAGTAAGCACATCAAGTTGCCCTTAAAACATTTTAAAATAGATAATTTACTTTTAACTGCATCGCTTCTAACATCTAGATCTTGTGTTCTACTCTACTGAATTATAATTATTGACATGTCACTATCTATATCTCATTTATTGTCGTAATACGCATGTTCCAAGTGTGAAATATTGTTTCCCTCAAAGACGGTTCCACTAGAATCGTAACAAGTTTTTCCAAGAAACTCATAAAGCGTAGTAGGGATGGCAATCAAAATCTCAATGTGTCAAATAAGTGTCACTATAGAGTAACTTCTTAGAAAGTGTCTTAAAAAATGTCCAATTAATGATGAGATGGAAAATTCTTCAATTGTTTACATGTATAGAAATGGAAATTGAAATAAGGAGTAGACACAAGATCCATTTACAAGCTCAGCATGGCAATCATCATGATTACAGCCACACGAAACCATCTATACAGTTGCCAGCATCGAATTGAGTTCGAAGACTTGAATTCTAACTTCTACTAAGTTAACAGACTACCCACCTCTGATGATCGGCATTGTAGAAATCCTAATTAATAGATTACTTATCGATCAATGCTGATGCTAGCAACTCGGTGGGTTGCGCGCCCATTAGTGTTAGTTAGTCTGTAGCAGCTTCAGCATTCATCGTTTTTCATACTTTCTCTGTCTCTCGCACACGGCTTATAGCGAGCATGATTCGAGTTTCCATTAGTCTGGGCTTGCAACCCCAACTGCAAACACAACATTCGATACGATTCAATACTTGACATTGCCACGAATGTGTCGCCACGTAAATATATTGCACACTGCAATATTATGAAGTTAAAGCTAATACATAGCTTAACTCAATATATTAATATTGTTTAAATGTCGTATTTTTTATATGGTACCAACTCAATGTTTAAGAACGTATCGCACATACGCGGGTATTGCATTATCTCTATCAGAGCAATAGCAGATTCGGCGTTGTACGTGGCTACAAAAGTGGTTTGTGGTGTTTGCAGTCACATTCTGTGTGGCGTGTCGTCTTCCTCAAATAACGTTTTCTACACATTTCAGGATCGATGACGAATGGGTGCCCGAGAGTGAAGTGAAACGGATCAAGAGGGTAGAGATATCGGAGCTGCCCGCTCACACAAAGGTGCTGCTGTACGACCAGTTCTGTAGCTCCTACAGGAAGACACCGTCGCCGCCGCCGATCAAGAAGAGCCAACCGCAACCCTCGAGGCTCTTGCCTCTGCGTCAATGCTCCTCGTCTAGGCTCTTAAACAATCTCATCGCAAAGCAGAAAGCCCTCGAGGTGAAGAACGAGTGCAGCGCTACCAATCTACCTTTGGTCTACCGCGAAGAAGAAGAGAGCCCCAAAGTCGAGGTCAGCGGCGCCAAGAAGAGGAAAATCGGCAGGAGGCACGGCGGGAACGCCTTCTGGCCCAGCGGCAGGTAGAGCTGTCGCGTCATTTATGGACACTAATTCATTGACGGGAGCCGGTGACGTATCGGCGATGCGTCACTAACTCGACGAATCAAATGTTTGTATAAGTTTAGCGAATTGTCGACTAGCAACGTAGCTGCGACAGAGTCTTCGGCGCCATCTCTCCGGCGGCCAAGGACTCGCCGCGCGCCCGCAGACTACCCACAAGACTGATCATACTTTATATAAGGCTCGGCGCTCGAGCGACGCGACGATAGCGAACAAATTGTAAATAAGTAGGAAATGTACATTGTAGACGCGATTAGGCTTAACTAGGCGACGTAGTCTGAGATTAGGTTAAGGTGTCGTCTGATAACGACCAGCGATACGAATCACTGCCAACGTTGTATATAGTCGTAGTTGTACTAGCGATGGCTTCCGTCTACGATTTCATTGGACCGCGTTTCGACCGCTTTAGCTTGACGGTGCCGACTCGATTATGGATATCGTTTCGATCGTTTTAGCCACGCCACCAAGTGCCTCGAATAGCACCGGGTTCTACCATAGCAGTGTTCAACGTAGATTAATACCGTGTAGTCATATCGATTCGGTGTTAGGTTAAATCGATTCTTTTATAATCGATCATTATATGGAAACATTGGACTAGACGGCTCTAGAGCCCTCAGTAACGGTCACTGCCACGCGTTCCGTTTCTCTACCACCCTTATGCGCGCAGTTTGAAACGATTTTGGTTACGATGACACTTTGAGCAATAATCGAATTTTAATACATTTGTGTCTAGCATTAGTTATTCCTTTTCTTTACTAAGATGTACCCACATTCATATCAGTTCGGTTTCAATAGACGAAATGTAAAAGTATGTTCGCGCTGAAACCAATTTGCCAAAATATAATGCCAGGCGCAATATCTTTCTGGACGTCTCTGTGACCGAAGTCGATTCCAACGACGCGAATAGCATTAACATATAACATAGCAATAACTGTGTGATAAAGTTTAGACGAATATTTCACGCACAAGATTTTTAGCCGTTTTGAATGAACACAGACAGACGATGCGCGATACTCAACATTATATCGCGTGTAAACATTGTTATTGGTATTTTTTATCTTTATAACAGGCAACATTTTAGACGGCTATAGTTTAAATGGTGAATTGTGTGGTTGTTTTTGTACTTTTGTACTGGTGTGTTAGTGTAAACGTTTGTCTTTAATACTGATGTCACGTGCAAATCTAAGCTAAATCTTTTGGATCATTTTCATTAAGCTCACATTGGTTTCAGAGTTTAATGTTAGAAAAAGAATATTTTGTAAATGAACATATTTTACAAATTTTAGCTTCAGTATTAAAGACAGATATGATGAAACAGCCATTTTAGAAGATTTTCTGTCGGATTGCCTTTCTAGCAATAAGGTAGTTGGAAATGTATATTGTGTTCCGTTCTTACGCGATCTCCGTAGTCTTTTAGTTAATATCGGTAGTTAAGTTAAGAGTGTGCGGTTCGACAACTGTTCGGTTCAAGGAACGATATAGCTAATCGATTGGCCACGAAATACTCTAAATTTAGAGAAACTGGATTGAGCGTTCTATTTAGTATAGTTGATATTTAAAGATCGAGGCGATAATTCTTGGAAGTTAAGACTTCCTTACTTATGTTTTAGTAGTAAGAAGCGGCACGAAATTTAGTAGAAGGAATATTGTCGCTTAGAAAGTGTTTCTGAATGTAGAGTATTTCCGTAGTGTTTGGGTCGAGACGAGTCAGCGCGAAGCTGGACGACGTAAGTGAATATAGAAAAATATAACTTTGGTGCGTTCGCGTTCCGCCGGCGACGGCCGAACCCGAACGTATCGCTAGTGTGGACGGACCCAAAGAGATAGGAAAATTCTTAGTAGTCAAGTTGGTGCCTGGATGAGTACGGACGTTAATATTCTATTCGGAATCCTTCCAATGTACTGATTTTAGGTTTTCTTAAAAAAAAATAGAATAATTTTTTCGCACTGAACGTGGTGCCATAATATTTTATTGGCTTTGCTTTTTTAATTAATTTGTTAGTCAAAACGCGACACCAAAATTGGAAAGACAAATTTTCTAGTATACTTTCTCCGTGGACTTAATTTGATCTCAACTGAAACGTAATATTATATATAATAGCCGAAAACGTCATCGAAATTAAATTCCTTTTTGTCCGCAATCATAGGTCAATTTACTCACACTAAACTAAAATGTCCAATCGAAGACGAGAAAACCGAGGGTCTTATTAATTTTATGTATTTTAATCGTAATTTTTACTAAAATAAGGTAATTACTATTCGGCCTTATTTTCCGAATTGGATGACGTATTCCTAAGTCGTTCTATCGCTCAATGTGAAATTAACTCTATAGAAATGTTCGGCCGAAGGACGCGGCCTATTCGAACGCTTGAGTACAAATTTTCTTTGCAATAATACTTAAGGGTCGATGGAATTCGGTATTTTCGATGATATAGCCCCATAGCGGTAGCCATCGAGAGAGATATTTTGTGATCGCAATTCTTGTAGCGGGGTACTAAATTAGGGAAGATATATTTTTATCACTGCCACGAGTAGTCCTAGCGGTCGCTCGGCGGGGTCGACGGGGACGGGAAGGCGTAAAGGCGTGAAACACATTACTGCCGCCGCCAGGAATCCGCATCGCCCACGCTTTACGAGTGTACATAGTTGTGTATTTATTGTTAGTGAGTAAAGTGCAGAAGTAATCTGCTTCGCGCCTTGGGGGGAGCGACACGGTAGCGTACGAGTTGTCAACATGTTTCCTATATTATCCGTTTATTATATGAATGTTCTCCTTTATTGTAAATGTTTGATCCATAAATATATATCGCGGAATAGTGTGCACCACTTTATTCGATTTGTAGATATCTAATTATATAGTATAATGTTTAATGCGTTTCCTTTGCTTGCGACCGTGAAGGTGTGGATCCGAAAGTTAATTATAATTTGCCCCGAGCGGGCCATCTACCTCAACTAATTTATCACACATTTGGGCATAATAATAGTGATAACGAAACGGAATTTGTTCATCGTAGCGATTGTAAGTTTTTTAATGGTTTGTCCACGTCACAAGTACTGTATCTTATATTAAATACATATTGTATGATTGACTACACCTTGTTTTATTTAACTGTATATTCCTTCGAGAATTGTAAGTAAATCGTGCTGGGGCGAAGGCCCAAGGCGCCAAACAAGTGGGAGGTGCCGAGGCCCCGTTCCTGTACCTATCTAGAATCCCAGGGTGAGGCTTGGCTACTTTAAAACGGTACCCAATCCTCATCCTGGTATGCAGAAGATTTTTATTGTCTGATAACATATACACAAATAAAATAGTTAATTTTTTGAGCGTGTTGTATGGGGTAATTAACTATTATGTGACACATATTTAAATACCGTAATGAATAACATTATTTACTGTGTTACATATAGCAAGAACAATACGCAAACAAGATAGTAAAAAAATTCCCTTTGCGAAGTCGGTTAAGAATTCAATAATAATGTTCGATCGATTCAGCTTTGGCGCTCAAGGCCGCAGCGCTATGTAACTGGACCCTGAAATATGCGTTTCGCGTCTGTTCGTCAGCAAACTTGCGACATGCGATACCACCGTGTCCACTGCGAAGGAATGTAAACCGTATTGTTACCTCACGTTGAAGTGAGGAAATTATATGAAAAAAATTATTGTAACTCTGCGTTATCGAATCAGGAATGAGAAGACTATTAAGAGATCTAAAGTCACTAACATAGCCAATCGGCTGGGCACATCACTCGTAGAACTAACTGCCGTTGGGGCAGTAAGGTTCTGGAGTGGAGACCGCGTACCGGACGTTGGAAACCTGGACGTCTCCACCACCAGGTGGACAGGCGACCCGGTAGCGGGAAAACGCAGGATTCAACTAGCGAACGACCGGTCGTACTGAAAGTCTGGGTGGACACCAAACGGCTGAAATTTATTGTTAAATCTAAGTTTAGTAACCTTTTTTTATTTAATTGAGACTCATAATATCTAACCTTTTTAGGGGTTAACTCATTACCTAGAACTAAGACAAGAGAGAGAAGATTTGGCTTAAAAGGGATTTGTTTCGATCGACACACAAAACAGGCATGATCAACACAATCAACATAATCAATCTAAATACAGACAGCATTTAGATTAATGCTTTGCAGCAGTCTCCCCGTGACGACCTGCTGCAAAGCATCCGAAACGTCGGGCCGAAGTTAAAAATCATTTTCAAATTAGTTTAACTGATATATCGCGTTTTAAACCGTTAAAGTGTTTTATTTTTTACTGTCTGTAGTTTACGCAAGTAGTATATAAATAAAATACTTTAACGGTCTAAAATTTTTACTTCGACGTCAGAGACACCCTCCATCTTTAGTCTCCCCGTGACCACGGTTCCTGCAATGTAAAATGTCGGCTTTAAAAATTTACCTAATATATATCGCGTTTTAAACCGTTAAACGGTTTTATTTAAATAATCTAAGAAAAGTTAAATGCCCCATGCAGAGTAGAGAATTGCACTATCCGACGGGTGATGGGCTCGTTGGTATAATAGTAATGTATGGAAAATAATCAACCGAATGTAGGTACGATAGCCACCGGGGTCCAACATTTTTCAGAAACGTCTCACACTTTGTCGGCATATCTGGATATTAAAGGATTATCGAAGTTCCGTCTGAACCACTATCCACAGATGAAAAGTTGAATCGCATTTTTGTCTGTGGATTACCGAATATCCAAAATCAAAGGTCGACAGAGCATCTTGTTTAGATGTTATGTGGCTGAGGCATATTTCCCCTACCATCAAGCGAACCCCATATCGTCCTCGCCTGTCCACAATGAAATAAGTTTTGCTTTGGACATTCGAAAACTTAGGCTGTAAAACGTATCGCGAACTATTTACTCTTATCTATTCTCGTCTGTGTTATGTGATTAATGTCCCACCTACCTTTAGTTACCACCTATTTTGTAACAATTACATGTTTTGAAAACATCGGCCCGTAGTTAGAATAAATTATAATTATTAAAAGTGTTTTACATAAATGTTTTGAAAAATCAAGAAGTGAATGAAAAATGCTGGGATTGAAACGGTTACCCGTCGGTCATAAATACTTCAATTTCAACCGTTTATTTTATGAAAAAGGTGCATTGTTTACTGTTCGGAAGAATCACGAAGTACAAACAC